TACACTTATTTAATCCCACCCCTTTGCCATAAATTATCAGTTAATATTTAGTCAGCTTCCTTACTGATATAATTTGTAATAAAAATAGTGAACAGATTTCTGATATACTATATCCTGTAATATCACATCATGAATTCTTTTTCTTTGTTTGTTTGTTTTTTTAAATAGAGACATTCACTTAATTTAAATATTTTCCTTTTCTTTATAGATCGAGAAGATCATATTTTTATAACTCTTTTTGAACAGTTTTATGTTTGGACGTTGCTGTAATTCCATATTCAGACTGTTCCATAGTTTCACTCCATGAACAGAAACACAAAAGCTTTTTCTTGTAGTACAAACCTTCATTGTTTTGAAGTTATAAAAACCCCTTAAATTATAACTTCCTTCTTTCAAAAAAAACATACTCAGAATATTTCCTGGCAGTTCTTTATTTTTTGCTTCGAATAGAATTTGTTTCACTACATCGTCAATTTTCAATATTTCCGACTGCAAAAATAGTGAGTTTGTATGTTCCTGTAACCTGCATTGTGGATGATTCAAATAGCTTTTTTTGAAGAGTAAGAAGTGAATGTAATGTGGTTTTATAGTTATTGCCCCAGACCTCTGCACAATAGCTTAAGTATGGTGAAACCAGTGAACAGTAGAGAATATGAAGTGATGTTCTGTCGAATACCTGCTTTGCCTTGTTTAGTGTTGCAATGATACTTTGGAATGAATATATCTTACGTGAGCTCTCAGTTAAGTTTTTCATCTGTTATTACCCCCAGAAATTTATTTTCACTGACTCTTTCAATATCAACACCATTTATTTGAATCTTTGCGTTTGTATTTAAACTACTATTTCCAAATAACATAAGTTTAGATTTATTCAAATGTAATGATAATTTAATGATAGGATCACACATCCTATCACTACACAATCGATTATACACCTCTAAGCATAGATGGTTAAATATTTCTAAGCATTTCTAGGGATGATGCAATGATCGGGGACCATTCTTCATTTCGTTGTTCTCGTGACAATGACAATAACGTTTCTGATTCTGATAAATGACAATCAACAATATAAACCTGACAACTTCCACCGCGGCCGGTGTTCGGGCAAAATGTCCTACTTTGTCAAAACATCCTACCATAGCGTAAATTTATAGTCATGTCTATCAGTCCGTGCTACCTTATCAGAATATACTACCTTACGTGGTTTATGCCTCCATCATACATATCTATAGGTAGGACATTCTGATGGCCAAATCACACTTATCAAAACATGCTTCCTGCTTGGATTTATTAGAAATTAAACAATGTTATCACTCAATTAACAAGTAAGTAGTGCAATATTACTTCCTTCAACATGACAACAGAGAGTGGTGTCCACTAACTGCAGGAGGACTAAAATTAATTGACAAGGTTTACACTGTATGCCAGTTTGCAGACGTTTAGAAGCACTAAATGACTTCAATTGAAACTCTAAATTGGAGTATTTTTGTACAAAAAACAAAACGCATGTTAGCTTCAAAGGTTAACAAATTGACAACAGCTTAAGGAAAACAAGTATCAACTGTAATAAGAAAGTAAAACATGTAATAATTTTTTTTCGCACGCACGAGATCGGGGTAGGATCAAATAATAGGCGTGTACAATTAACATCGAAATCATGTTATGAGTTGTGCGCGTGCACAGTAACAACAAGTAGGACAGCTTGATAGGTAGTGTGATTTTGTCAGAACACCGGAGTCACGAGGTTGGCAGGTGTAAACAAACCCCGGGGGAGTGGAGCTGCGAAAAATCACTGGGCTGTTGCCACGTCTCAGTCAAACAGAAAGTCAAAGTTACGATCTGTGAGCAGATCCCGAATGAGATGCTCATAAGCAAAGAGGCCGAAATTGACATCGGTGCTGTCAGACTGAACAAAAGTGTTAGCCGACCTGAGCAGGCTGGCTAACACACTGTGGTCAACAGCCCTGTCAGAGTTCCATGGAGGACGACGCGAAGTGGACCAGAGGGACTGTATTGGCTTAAAGTCGTCATGGTGAAAATTCGACGAGAGCCCAGGTGAATGTACTTTCGGCGAGGGAGGAATGCAGCCAGGTGAAAGCGGAGTCGGAGAAGCTGGTCAGCTGAGTATTGGTAAAGTCCAACACTAGGTCAGTAGACCAATGACATAAAAATCCAAACCCAAACGAGCAAGACGCAGATCCTGCCAGGACAAAATCACGGACAAACAGTCAGGTGTATGGATCCAAGGGAGACAACGGCCAAAACAAACAGGCAGATGAACTCGACCCAAAACACTCAGGCACTTGCAAAATTTGATCGCCAGTCATGTAAGTAGAAGACAAGAAGGATAAAATTTGTTAAGATGTATCAAAGAATATAAAGAAAGATACAAAGATGCCAGTGAGCAGCAGCAGCAAGTCGCGTGAGCTTCACTTTTATTTTTGCCCAATAAAGCTATTTTGCTTTCTCATTGTATTTTCTTGAGCTGTGCTAAATATAATATAAATATAATTTCACACCTGTCTCAGAAGCAATATTCATGAAATATGTGAAAGAAAAAAATATCTGGGAAACAAAAAATGATGCATGAAGATTAAAAGTCTTGTTTTGATATTTAAAGTGTCACTAACAGGTCTGCTACCATCAGGCTGTGATCTGCACATCTGATCATGAAGAGACAGTTTTAAAGAAACTGCAGTGAAGAGAGAGGATGATTATTTATTAGAACAATCTCCCCTTTAAGAAGTGAATTAAAGCTTCTGTTTTTATGCAAAAGACATTTTATTAACTGAGTGAAACAAACCAGACAAGTGAAACAGTGTGTGGCTCCCTCTAGTGGATGTTGTGGAGTATTCTGTTGTCTTTGCTCCAAAGGTTTTTGTACAGAGTTTTGCTGTTTCCTGTCACTGTGGGCTGCAGAGCACAGTAGTACACAGCAGAGTCAGACAGCTGAAGCTTCTGGATCTTCAGAGGAGCTGACTTTTCTGTTTTGTTGATTTTGGCATCAAATCTGTCGTTGTTGAACTCGTCAGCCTTAACTGTTGAGGTTGACAAACAATGCAACATATAATTTGGGTAACTATTTACTTCTTGTTTGTACCAGAACAAATATGGACTGGAGTCACTGGTCTCATATTTGCAGTAAAGTGTAACTGTGTCTCCTTCAGCAGCAATGACATCTCCTTGTTCCTGGATCACTTTGTCTTCTCCTTTACACTCTGAGGAAGAACAGAACATGCAGAGGAAGAGATGGATCAATAAACATGATTAAAAACTCACCATTAATCAGACTCACACATT